AGACCAGGCTGGCCTTGAACTCACAGAGATCCCTCTGCCTCTGTCTCCCTTGTGCTAGGATTAATGGAGTGTGCCATTACTGCCTGGCAGAATCAGTCTTAATCATGTTACCAAATGTATCAACTTAAAGAAGTAAAGCATCCACAAATGAAGAGACTTTCTCATGTCAGAGTTAAAGTATCAACCAAGAGTGGGGGTTATGACCTGAAGAAATGAAGTTTCTGCTAGGTCTGGGCTATCCAAATCCATTAGTAATTTGTTTTTAATTTCAGTTTTACCTTCAACTCTAAGTGCAAGGGTCCAGTTTCGCCTTATGGAGTTAAATAGAGCAGTCTGCTTGGAATGCCCCGAGTTTCAGATCCCGTGGTTTCATGATCGCTTTTGTCGAGGACATTATAACAAAGGTTTGTTTTCTTTTGGTAAGAGAGTATAGTTAATTCCAGAACAGATTATTAGATAATACCTTGTTATTATCACTGTTAAATCTAAATATGGCTAGAGTTTCCAGGAGGGCTTACGGCTTGTTAAAGACTTTTGTCAGTGGGATTCATTTTACAGGAATTTCTTAACTAGGACACTGACCACTTGAGAGCAGGCACTTGTCTCCCATTGAGTTTAGTGTTATTCCACATTAGGCCCTTACTGTATTTGTTTACTTCTTGTGTGTGCCTGTGCTTGCACACACAGGTGTGGGTAAAGTGTTAATCTTTATCAATAAAAATCAGGAGTCAGATATGGGGTAGAAACCTGAAAGATTAGAGAAGCAGGGGAGCAGCCACCAGTGACCCCCTACCTCTTATTTAGACAAAAAGGGGGAAATGCTGTGGAACAATCTTTTTGTTCACTATGAATATGATTGCTCTCACTGCTAATAAAAAGCTGATTGGCCCGTAGCTGGGCAGGCAGAGATTGAACAGGAGCATCAGACTAGGTAGGAGATTTCTGGGAAGAGGAAGAGCTGAGTCAGATTCGACAACAAATGCACAGAAGCAAGATGAAAATGCTACACTGAGAAAAGGTACCAAGCCACTTGTCAAAGAAATATGGGTTAATTTAAATGTGGGAGTTAATAACAAGCTGAGTATTTGTAAGTAATAATAAGCCTCTGACTGCTTATTTGGGAATGGGGTGGCAGAGAAATGCCTGTTTACAGGTGTGAGGAGGTCAGAGGACAACTTTCTGGACTCAGATCTCTTCTCAGCTGTTCATCTGGACTCTGGGGATGAAACTCAGTTCCTTAGGCCCGAGAGGCGAACCCATTTACAAAACTGCTGAGCCGCCTGGCCAGCCCTGAGGCTCTTGGTAAAAATCTTTTTTCAGTTTGTAGACTTAGGATGACTTTTAATTTTCTTAATTTTTCTAAAGATATTGATGTGATGAATGGAGCACAACAGCAGATCTATAAAATGTTAGCAGAAGTCCTTGGAGGACTGAGGTGTGTAAAGGCTTCTGGTCTTTCTACATATTACCACACCGTGGGTAAGTCACCAGACATGACCAGACTCACTTGAGTAGTCTTCTGATTAGCTGGAACTTTGGAAAGGTTTGCAATTGTTGTAAAGGTGTATTTATTTTTAGTTTACATGTGTAAGTGTTTTACCCACATTGTGTAAGTGCACTAAGTATAGCCTTAATACTTACATAGGCCAGAAGAGGGAGCCTGGGGGTACTAATGGGTGCTGGAAACCCAACCTAGGGCCTCTACAGGGGCCTTCAGTTCTCTTCATCACTAAGCTATCTCTCAAGCCCCAGGCTTATCATTTCTTTCTAAAAATTTTTTTTAATTTCTTTCTTCAGGGTCTTAAGTCTTTAATTGTTGAGGTCCTTCACTTTTTTTTTTCTTTTTTTGTTTTTTTTCCGAGACAGGGTTTCTCTGTAGCTTTAGAGCCTATCCTGGCACTCGCTTTGGAGACCAGGCTGGCCTTGAACTTACAGAGATCCGCCTGCCTCTGCCTCCCAAGTGCTGGGATTAAAGGCATGTGCCAACAACGCCCCGCTCTTTCCAAATTTTTATTATGAAAGTTTCCAAACAGACAAAGAAAAACCATAATAATGAATTCTGAAGTTCATTCCCATTGCCCAACTTTGAAAACCATCAACATTGCTATTTTCAGAAAAAAAAATTAAATTTCATCTTTATCAGTAGTAAGTAAAATCTAGATTTAGATTGACTAAACATTTCTGGATCTTCAAAAGATTCTGTCCTTGCTGAGTGGCGCTGGCGAACATCATTAATCCCAGCACTCAGGAGGCCAGCCTGGTCTACAGATTTCATTCTAGGACAGCCAGAGCTACACAGAGAAAGTCGGTCTTGAAAAACCAAAACCCAAACCAAACCAAACCAAACCAAACCAACCAAACAACAAAAAATCAAGATTATCCTCCCTGGACATGGTGGCACAGGCCTGTAATCCCAGCTTCTCAGGACGTTTAGGTGACACCTGGGCAGCAGAGCAGGACCGTATCTCAAAACAAAGAAAGAAAACCAAAACACACAACAGGACTTTGGGGAAAGTGTAGGCCTTTGGGGCTCTTCTGCAGCTGTACCCCTCTTTCCCTTGTTTTCCTGTTTGGAGAGGTTGCTGCATCTTAAATGGTAATGAGGACTCTGCCCACATGAATTAATCACCTCCTAAAGGCTCTCCTCCTAATACCATCATATTGGTGATGAACGTTCCATTATGTAAATTTTGGGTGATACCATCTGTCCTAGTTTGCTTTCTATTGCTGTAAGAAACACCATGACCAAAAGCAACTTATTTCATCTTACAGCTTGTTACCTGTCATCCAGGGAAGTCAGAGCAGGAAGTCAAGGCAGGAACATGGAGGCAGGAACTGATGCAGAGTCCGTGGAGGATGTAGGAGGTTCTGAAACCTCTGAGCCGGCCCCCAGTGATGCTCTGCCTCCCCCAGGGCCACACCTATTAAGCCTCCTCAATTAGTGCAACTGGGGACCATATATTCAAATGCCTGAGAACATGGTGAACATTTATACAGCCACCATATAGAATAAATCTGGGAGCTGTGGCATATACTGATAGTCCAGTTATGGAAGAAGCTACGGCAAGAGGATGACTTGAGCCTTAGGATTCTTTAGGTTTTTTTGAGACAGGGTTTCTCTATGGCTTTGCAGGCTGTCCTGGAACTATTTCTTGTAGACTGGTCTCAAACTCACAGCCATCTGCCTGCCTCTGCCTCCCGAGTGCTGGGGCTAAAGGTATGCTCCACCACCGCCTGGCCTGAGCCTTGGGATTCTTAACCAACTAAGCAACATAACAAGAGCCCATCTCAGAAATGAAAAGGTAGAATAATTTGAATTTAATATTATATAGCCTTCATGATTATTTCTTATATATTTTTTATTTATTTGTTCAAGTTTAATCCAAACATTGAATTTAGTTAATTTGGTTTGGCTTTTTTTTTTTAATTGTTTTTCTCCTTTCCCCCCTTCTCCCCCCTCCCCCCATCTTATAATTTATTGGAAAATGTTTCTTTGTCTAGACTCTTCTGATTGAACCTCTTTGATATCATTTAACATGCTCATGTTGCTCTTACTTTTCTGGTAAACCAGCAGTTAGAGGTAGATGCTTAATTGGATTCTAGCTTTAATTTGTCTTTGGCCAGACTGTCTGACAGGTGGCTATTTCTTATTGCATCATATCAAAAGTCATCACTCATCAGTGGGTTTGTAATGCTCTTCAGGCTGGTTCATCTGTGAGACAGTTCCCTTTTGAGGGTTTGCCCTGCTGACTTTAGTAGCCATTGCCAAATGCTCCTTGCCTAAATCTAGCATCCATAGGGGAGGCCAGAATAGCAAGTTTCTGCATGTACTATTTCTTCTACATTGATTTCTTCATTTTCTGTGTCAACTTAGTTCCTATACATAAAGTTCAGATAGGAAGGCTTGTCCTTGTTTTCAGGTGGTATCTTAACATCCTCCAAAGGTGACCAGGAAACTTAAAGATACTAAAATAAAACTTTTGAAACTTAAAAAGATGTTAAAATAAAGCTTTTTTTTTTTTTTGAGACAGTCTGTCTATGTAGCTCAGCTGATCCTAACTTGTCATCCTTCTGCCTCAGCCTCCCAATTGCTGAGATTACAGGCATGCATGACTTAAAGCAAAATTCTTTGATATGATTTTGCTCAGATTAAGTGCTAAGTGTAGCCAGCTATGTGGTGTAGTTCATTAATGCTTTCTTGGTATTGATTTTTCAAAGAAAAGTACCATTGGACAATACCTTACAGAATGAGTTCGATAATTGGTGAGCTCTATTGTTCTTTTTGCTCTTTTAAATTATGTGTGTGTGTGTGTGTGTGTGTGTATGTATATATATATATATATATATGTATGTGTGTGTGTGTGTGTGTATATATATGTGTATATATACACATATGTATATGTTTAAAATATACTTAAACTTTTGGTTGCTAGAATTTACCTAATTTATACTATTGATTCTTCTTTTTTTTTTTTTTTATAAGATTTTGAATGCATTTTGGATAAACGAAAAAAACCTCTTCCTTATAGAAGCCAGAGCATAACTCCAGGGAAATCACCAGGAATATACTGGGAATCAGATACTTCAAGAGTTGAGTCAAGCCTTCCACCAGAATCTGAGAGGTGTGTTTTAAGGTATTTTTTAAATGGTTATGTTCAGCATTGTATTGTAGTCTCTTTTATTAAGGGTTGATTACAGCACCTACTATTCAAACATCCCATACCATTTGTCTCTATATTTTTGCCTGTGCTGTGCCTTCTACCAGTGACTTTCCTTCAGCTGTCCATGGGCCAGCAGTCTGTGCAACAAAGTGATGACCTAGTTATCCTTAGCCAGGAGTACAGTGTTTTCTTCTGTGTTCCATGCCTCTCCTGCATTGCTGCTGTTGCCACACATCTGGTTAGACCATAGCATGTTGCTTTGACTTTATGGGTAAATTCTTTATGGAAGAATCTATCTCATAATGCATGTTGGACAAAGAAGCTTACGAGTGTTAGGAGATGTTTTGCTATATAGGTTCTTTAAATGAAAAGGTTAACTTTAGTTACTAATTTCTTAAGTAGAAAAATAATTTGGGGAGCTGGAGAGATGGCTCAGAGGTTAAGAACACTGGTTGCTCTTCCAGAGGTCCTGAGTTCAATACCCAGCAACCACATGGTGGCTCACAACCATCTGTAATGAGATCTGGTGCCCTCTTCTGGCTTTCAGGGATATGTGCAGACAGAAAACTGTGTACATAATAAATAATTCTAAAAAAAAAGAAAAGAAAAAAGAAAAATAATTTGGAGCTGGGTATGGTGTGTGCCTTTCATCCCAGAACTTGGGTGGTAGAAGCAATAGGGTCAGTAGTTCAAGGCTAGCCTGTATTAGTCATTTTTCTATTGCTGTGATAAACACCATGTATGAGGCTCCTTAGACAAGGAACAGTTTATTTACCGCTTATGGTTTCAGAGGGATAAGAGTCTAACACCATCAAGACAGGGAAGCATGGCAGCAGATGGGTATGGCCACTGGAGCAGCTGAGCAAGAGCTCACATCTTGAACCACAGGTAGACACAGAGGGAGCAAACTGGGAAATGGCATGTGGCTCTTCAAACCTCAAAGCCCACCCTTAGTGGCACTTCCTCCATCCATGCCACACCTACCCAAACCTCCCCTAATAGAGCCACCAAATGGGGACCAAGTGTTCAGATTCGAGACTGTGGTCAATCATTCAAACCACCACACTGGGCTACTTGATACTCTGTCACAGAGAATGAACAAAATAAAAATCCTTATTATACTACTTTATAGTCATATAGCCTTTGTTTATGTGAATACATTCTTTTTCCTGAAAGGCTTATGGTTACTGATTACTTAAATTCTCATTTTGATTTTGGAAGTGAACATTTTTGTTTTTTTTGCAGGATTGCTTTAGAGTTTTTGGATGTAAGAGCCTTTTGTTCAAACATTCCTCACTTAAAGGGAAAATCTGCTATGAAAAAACGACATTTGGAAATTTTGGGCTATCGTGTTATTCAGGTATGAAACAGTCATGTAATTCAGCCTGTAAAAAGGCAAGGTGGGGTGAGTGGGGCCAGGTGCGTCTATGGTCCCAACACTGTGTGGACAGAGATAGGTGGATTGTTGCCTGTTCTACCAGCCTAGCTGCAGGTCCTGTAAGAGACCTGGTCTATATATTGCATTCCAGGCCAGCCAGGGATACACAGTGAGACTTTGTCTCGAAAAAACAAAAACAAACAAAAAAAACCTTATTTATTTTCTTGCATGTTAGACATTATGAACAGGTCTCAAAGGGAAAAGGCTAATGTATCATGTGAAGACTATGTAGGAAAAATGCCTTTTGTTGATGCTAAAGGAATGGGAATGGAGGGAGCTTCGAGGCAGAACATGTTTTCTAGGTGGTGGCAGGAGGAAAGCTCCATGTGGCTTCTAGGAGTTCAGAGGCTGTGCTTCAGCCAACACCTCTGTAGCTCCTGCAGCCTTGCTGGTAAAGCTCCTAAGTCTGCCCTGCTGTTTATATAGCTGCTTTATTTATTTTTAAAATCGTGCATGCGTGCGCCCAGGTGCTCAGAGGCCAATGGAAGCTGGAAGAGTTGAATCCCTCAGGAGCTGGAGTTGCAGGTGCTTGTAAGCTTCCTGACGTGGGTGCTGGGAACCCAACTTGGATTCTCTGCCTGAGCAGTATATGATCTTAACTGCTGAGCTATCTCTGCAGCTCATGTGTATATTTTTGAACTTTATGTAAAAACTCATTTGAAGCTGGAGCCTTTAGTCCCAGCACTTGGGAGGCAGAGGCGGGCTGATTTCTGTGAGCTCAAGGCCAGCCTGGTCTATAAAGCTACACGTCGAACACAGAGAAAGCTGCCTCGAAACAAACAAACAAAAAACTAACAACTCATTTGATTTCAAATAAATATTCAATATAAAAATAAATGTTTTTAAACTAATTTTTCTGTATATTATTGTACCATTTAAATCCTTTATCACCTTATATGATTTCTTCAATGTCTGTTAGCAGTTAGCAATTGTATATAAAAAAGGTTTTTTTTGTTGTTGGTGTTGTTTTTAGTTTGGCTGGTTTTTTGAGATAGGGTTTCTCTCTCTAACAATCCTGGCTGTCCTGGAACTCACTTTGTAAACCAGCTGGCCTCAAACTCACATAATAAAAGCATTTTAAGTGGATTGAAGCAAGACTTTTTCAGCCTTTATTATAAGATGGCATAAACTTTACAGAAGTAGTTCCATTACAGTATGGGGAGGGACTCACAACTGTGTGTAACACAGGTAGGTCATCTTTTCAAGCATTAAAGCGTGACAACCTAAGAAATGACATAAACATGTTCACCCCATGCCTATATCTTACCCCCCACACACAAACATGCATACACACTTATAAACATGTGCACAGCTTTAGCAAATTAGAGCCCAGTAGAAATGCCCAGAGCTCACTGCCAACTGAGGATTCTGATGAGAGCTGTGGTTGCTCTTAAATTTTTTAACTTTAGTTTTTTAAAGTGTATTTTTATTTTTATGTATGTGGGTGTTTTGCCTGCATGTCTGTACACCACATGCATGCTTGGGGCCCAAGGAGGCAAGATCAAGTACTGCTTACAATTAGCTGTGAGAATAAGGAATTACTCATTCAGACTGGTTTGTTTTTTCTTGTTGCTTTGTTTTGTTTTAAATGTTATTTTATGTATATGGGTGTTTTGCCTGTATGTATGCTTGTACACACATGTCTTCCTCATGCCTTCAGAGGCCAGAAGAGGGCACTGGATTCCCTGGAGCTGGAGTTACAGTTGTGTGCCCCCATATGGGTACAGGGAATCAAACCCAGGCCCTCTGGAAAGAGCAGTCAGTGATTTTAACCACTAAGTCATTTCTCTATCCCCAGTCTTTTCCATTTATTTTTAAGTGGAAGAAATGTAATGGGATTGAGATATGGTCACATGCTGTAGTCATGCTGGTCTAGAACTCACTATGATTTTGTCCAGTCTAGCTTTGAATGTGTGGCAGTTCTCCTGGCTCAGCTTCTGGAGTGCTGGTATTACAGCTGTGAGCCACCCTACATGGCTTCTTTCCTATTTGAAGGGTGGGGAGTTGGGGAGCTAGTCAATAGCAGGCTTTTATTTATAACATTTCTGGAGGCTAAGAAGCACCAGATCTAGGGCCTGTCAGGTGTAGTGTCTATGGAGAGCCTGCTTCTGTATTGAGATGGTACAGTCATCTCCCTGTGCCTACCTTAATTTTTTAGCACAAAAAAAAAATTCAACAACTACAAATACTGGGTAACAAATAATATACACAGCTTTAGCTCATAATCTTAAGAGACCAATAAAATAATTTCTACATTTATATAACTTTTTTTAAATCTCTGAGGCTACCATTAGAAAACTTACATGTCCCTTCACTAAAAAGAGCTGGCCCTGTCCCTCATGGGAGAGATGCCCCCCCCAATACTAGGGAGAGATTGCCTCACCCTTTACCACAGGTGTGGGATTGCTGGCCCCAATGGCAAGGGCATAGGAGAGCTGGCTCCACCCCTCACTGTAGTGGGATGGCCTCAGTGACCCCAACTGACCAGCTAAGCTACCACCCTGGGCCACATTCCGGGCCTTGGGTTTGCCCACCCTAACTTCTACCCCATGTATGACCTGGAGTTCATGAAAATATCCTGTGACGTGTCACAGGATCTTTATGACTCAGCATCAGGATATCTGAGAGGAGTCTCAGTGAGAGTCCAGTGATGATGGTGTGCCGGAGGCCAGAGGCCTTGGACCAGCCAGTGAACATTTGTGAGTGGGGCTGATTGGACAAAAGGCTATAATGTGTGACACACTGTAGCTCCCAGTGACACTAGGACTAGAGAGGTGGCAAAGATGGAGGAGCAAGGTGGTCTTCGTTTCATTTTTAATTAATTTGGGGGTTTCTTTTGTGGGGGATGCTGCATGGTAAGGGGTGGCTATCGAAGGACTGGGAGGTGAGTGGGATTGGGATGCATGATGAGAAATTCCCAAGGAGTCAATAAAGAATTATGTCATGCTGGTTGGTGGTGGCGCACACCTTTAATCCCAGCACTCAGGAGTCAGAGACAGGAGGATCTCTGTGAGTTCAAGGCCAGCCTGGTCTACAGAGGGGGTTCCAGGACAGGTTCCTAAGCTACAGAGAAACCCTGTTTCAAAACAACAAAACAAAACAAACAAAAAGAATTGTTATAAAAATAACATTTACGAAATTTAATAAATCTCTGAAGCTATCATTAGAAAGCTTATATTTCCCCTCACTAAACCAATAGGGAGCTCCATCTAATGGTGGGGAAATCAAATTAAAAACACTCATTGTTGCTTTAAAGCTTTTATTCAAATGAATTACTTCCTTTGCAGGTCCCTTACTTTGAATGGAATTCTATGGCACTGTCAACCAAGGACGCAAGGATGGACTACCTGAGAGAACATATATTTGGAGCAGGCAAATCATGATTGAGTTTTCATTTAAAATGAATATGGCATACCACATTTGTATTTCTTTTACTTAAGTGGTCTAACTCAATAAAGAAATGCTAAGTGCAAATATTCTGTATTGGGCACATGCATGATATGTTTGGGAATAACAAGAGATCTGCTGTGGTTAGAGCAGATCAAGTGGGAAGTAGGTTGAGAATGTAGTAAAAGGTCAGAAGAAACAGTCAACAGCGTGTGACCTCATAGCTCCTCCAGATGAGACAAGAAGCCATGGTAAAGTTTTAAGCATTTTGTATTTTTAAAATATTTTATTTTTTATCTTAACTATTCCTGGCTGGTCTTAATCTTGTGGCAGACCTCCTGCCTCTGCTTCTTGAATGCTGGGATTACAGGTATGCACCATCATGTCCAGCTAAGAACTCTTTTAATAAGTGAGTTAATCCCACACTCTGGACGTGAGATAGGAGGACTGTTGTGAGATTGAGGCTAGCCTAGGCAATAGAGTGAGACTGTCTCAAAAGACCCTACCCCACCCCACCCCCAAAGAATTTCATAATGCACAATTTTAATTTTTTTCCTTCATGCATGAATGTATTTTATTTTGGTAAATCCAAATCTACCTTTCACTCAACTCCCCAGCTCCTCCTGTGTCCCTCTCTGCCACCCGTGTTCTAACTTCATGTCCTTCCTTCTTTCTCTAAGTGTTTGTATATGTAGCCTAGTGAGTCCATTCAGTGTTGCTGCACACACATGGGTAGAGGGCTGTCCTATGTAGCCTGGCCTGGCCCCGATGAAAGCTGACTTGCTCCCCTTTAACGGCTGTGGCTTCTAAACTAGGAGTGGGCCTTGTGAGCTCCCCCATCCATGCTTGAATATCCACCAGCTTGATCTTGTGCAGGTCTCGTGTGGGCAACTATAAAGAGCTGTTGAGAGTTCATGAGTGCAAGTGCCTGTTGCCCCAGAAGACACTGTCTGGCTCTTACAGCCTTTCAACCTCCTCAACCAGCACATTTTTAGTCTTAGGTGAGGGGGTGTAACACAGATCCCATTCCTTTCACCGAGATGGGGGTCTATGGGAAGAATAAGGTGGGAGGTGGGCTGCTGTTGGGACAAGGCTGAATTTGTTCAGACGTGTTGAGTTTACGATGTCCACTCAGTGAGTTTGGAGGTCACAGAGAAGTCTGTGCTCCAGAAAAAACATGTGGAAGTCATCACTGGTATTTAACACCAGAGGACTGCATGAAATCACTTTAAGGTGCTATTGGAGAAGGGTGTGAATGGAGGAGAGATGTGGGACTGTCCCCTCAGGGACTCAAGAGAAGAGACCAGAAAGAAGGCAAAGGAGGCCTGTGACAATCCATCCATACACAAATGTGTGGTAGGATCCAGGTGACAGTTAGCTCATGACTCACATGGTTGAATCAGATGATGGCAGATCAAGGAGTCTGTCTAGACACCAAGAAAAACAGTGGGTGTTGAGCCTCAGGACCCTCCAGATAGAGTCTCACTGTGTTTCCCAGGCTGGGCTCATACTCGTGTGTTCTAGCAGTCAGCCTCTGAAGAAGCCGGGGTTTCAGACATGTGCCACCATGCCTGGCTCAGTCATTGGAAATTTAGCCAGTAAGCAGCCCTTTTAATATAAAGCTAAAAATGAAGCCGGTGACTAGCTACTTTCCTTCACATCATCTTCTGCCCCAGAAGTTTAAAGATCACTCCCTGTTGCAGCTGCTGTGATTAATGTTGTGAAGGCTATGGTTTATTGGGCTTTAAATGTAAGCGTTTTTATTTGGGGCTAGACAGGTGCATCAGCTGCTTGCCTCAAAAGCTGAGAACTAGAGTTCAAATCCTAGCACACACACACACACACACACACACACACACACACACACACACACACACACACACACATAAATTGGCATGTAGCATGAGTGCTCCTACAGGAAGACAGGATGCAGACAGGAGTGTACACAGAAGCTTGCAGACAATCTAGACTATAGTACACAATGGAGAAACAGCAAAGAGACTGTATCTCTAATAAGCTGGAAAGTGAAGACTGATACCTGAGCTTGCCTTTGACCTCCACACATGCACTGGGGCACATGCAAACATGCACACATTGTATACAGATACACACAAAAATACCTTTTTTTATTTGGAAATAATTAATATGCCAGTGTCGATAAAAGAAGAAAGGGACCGAGGGACAGCTCAGTAATTGAGAGTACTGGCTGTTCTTCCAGAGGACCTGGAGTTGGTTCCCAGCACCCACATGGCAGCTCACAATCATCTTTAACTCCAGTCTCCAGGGATCCGATGCCTTCTGGTCTCTGTGGGCACCAGACAGGCATGTGGTGGTGCACAGACACACAGGCAAAACACCCATAAACATAAATAAACATTTTTAAAGGGGGGGGGAGAGAGGCCATTGGATTTGACTAGACACTTTGCCCTTCAGCTGAGACTCATTTATTATACTTCTTAAACAGCATTTCCAATCATCTTCATTATAATGCACAAAACTCCTGTATAGCTCAAAACATGAAAGGTTTCTGTTATTCAAACATTTCTTTAGAATGTAGACATACACATTTCATTGATAATAGAAAACAAGTGTAAATGTACCTTAATACAAAGGATTAGTAAACAGCTCAGATTTAGAAATCTCACTTCTTTGAGTAAAGTTTAGCAAAAGTACATTGTTTAACTGAATACTAGAGCTCTTAGCAAATGGTTTTATACTTGGCACTGGAAAAAGCAGTGACTACCCTGCAGTGAGCTACACTGTTCACCTCATAGAGACCCTACATGAATCACTGTAACCCTACATGAATCATTGTACAGGCTTAAAGACAGACAATAAATTGTAGCCCTCTTGTCCCAACAAGCCACCTCTCAAACTATTGTTTTTGTTACCTTGTTTATAGTTTAGACAGTTTGAATAGATTTAAGCGTGTTGCTAGGCAACTAGCTCCCGAAGCATAACGTATTTCTTTCAACATCCCAGCCCATTCTTTTTTATCATCTTCATACCTGATGGAAGAAAAAACAAACAAACAAACAAACAAAAAACAATAAGCCATCTTTAATGAGAACACTTTGTAAGTTTCTTTGTGTTCAGTATAAAAATGGGGTCTCTGGGGAAAAACCACACTGCTTCCTGACAGATACGGTGCCTCGCCTGGTAAGTATCAGTTGAATTCCTTTCAAAGTATACACAGTATGAACTCAGAGAGGCAGGATTTGGATGAATTATGATTTCAGTAGTTCCCACCTACTGGTGCATTGTGTGGCACCTGATACAGTGCTGACTCCTGCCTCTCTGTTGTCTCAGGACAGCTGGTAGACTGTGCCCTTGCCTCTGATCAAGAACTTGTGGTCTTCATGTCTGAGAATTCAAGGTTACAGAGATACAATTTGCATTGCCTTAAATGTGCGCTTTACATCTCACAGGAATTTGAGGGCAGCCTGGGCTATACATAATGAGTCTGAGGCTAGCCTGGGTTATAGGATGAGGTCCTATCTCAAAATACAATGGAAATGTATTTTGCACACCACAATAGAAGGGTTGATAGATTTAGAGTGTGGAATGCTGAGGTTTGTTTTTGTTTTGTCCCTTTTTATGTGGAGATACACAGGTTCACTAGGAGGCAGTAGACAAGTGAACAGCCATGGTCTCTAGGACAATAGTACTTAATTTGTAGAGAATACTTGCAAATCACTCAGAGAGGACTTGTTATAACTGTTGCCTCCCACTGCTCAAAGATCAGTGCTTTTTTTTTTTTTTTTTTTTTTTTTTCGAGACAGGGTTTGTCTGTGTAACAGTCCTGGTACTGGACCTCACTATGTAGAGCAGGCTGGCCTTGAACTCACTGAGATCTGCCTGCCTCTACCTCCCAAGGGCTGGGATTAAAGGTGTGCACCACCACCTTTATTTTTATTTATGTAAATGGGTGTTTTTTTTTCCTGCATGTATGTCCATGTGTCATGTGTGTGCAGTGCCTGTCCAGGCCAGATAAGGGAATTGGTCTCCTGGGACTACAGTTACAGATGGTTGGGAGCTGCCATGTGGGTGCTGGGAATCAAGCTTGGTCCTCTGGAAGAGCAGCCTGTTCTCTTAATCTCTGAGCCATCTCTCCATCTCTGAGCATCTGGATGTCTAGCAAACCCAGGTGTTGCTGAAACTACTTTGAGTACTGCTACAGTAATCTTGAGGTCTCAATTTGACTACACAATGGAACCACCTGGAGATGCTACTCTAGTCCCTCCCCAGAGACTGAGTTGGTCTGACATGTGACGTAGGGATGAAGGTCTTTAGAAAACTCAGAAAGAGAAAAAAAAAAAAGAAAGAAAAACTCAGAAAGTACTGCCTCAAAATTTGAGGATTGGAACTAGAGAGATGGTTCAGTGGTTAAGAGCACTGGCTGCTCTTCCAGAGGTCCTAAGTTCAATTCCCAGCAACCACATGGTGGCTCACAACCGGCCATAGTGAGATCTGGTGCCCTCTTCTGGCCTGAAGGCATACATGCAGACAGAACACTGTATACATAATAAATAAATAAATCTTAAACAAAAAACATTTAATCCCAGTACTTGGGAAGCAGAGGCAGGCAGATCCCTGTGAGTTCGAGGCCAGCCTGGTCTATAGAGCAAGTTCCAGGACAACCTCCAAAACAATACAGAGAAACCCTGTCTTGAAAAACCAAAAACCAAAAACCAAAAACCAAAAAAAAAAAAAACAACAACAACAAAAACACTCTAGACATTACCCCAAGTTAGAAAACAACAGAATTATCCAAATTTACATTGCTATCACTAAGCAGGACAGTGATGGGTGCACCCAACCACAACCCCCTATTCTAGTGGTTTTCAAGTACTTCTGCACATGTATAATCATTTTGGGGATCTGTCAAATTTCCAAAGCCCAGACCACCTCCCAGACCAGCTAAATCACCATCAGTAGAGGTGGGAGAGAGAGACAGAAAGCCGATCACAGGTGGAAGATTCCTCTTGGAAGTTCTCATAGCAAAGGTGAGGGGCCCATTTAGCAGGAATCACTGCACTCTCTCCCCTTGCTGCCTACTACTTCCTTTTGCTGGGGCAGGATAGCTTTA